CCACCGCCTCCCTCCCCACCTCCACCCTTCCCGCCGCCTCCATCGCTGCCCACCGCGCCGCCACTCAGTCCCCCTTTCCCGCCGCCATCGAGGCCGCAGAGGAGCCCCCGGGCACCCAGAGGACGTCCGCCCCCGCCCAGCCCGCAGCCGCTCCCTCCCTCTACTCCTGTCCCCCCCTCGCCCCGACCCTTTCCAAGGCCTCCGCCGCCTGCCCGGTCTCCGCCCCCTGCCCGGTCTCCGCTTCTTGGCCGGTCTCCACCCCCTGCCCGGTCTCCACTTCTTGGCCGGTCTCCACCAGCACTGAAGCGGCGCCCTCCAGCCACAGTGGCGTCTGTCGACTACGATAGGCCCCAAAAAGAAAAGACCGGCGACTACTATTATTGGTAGACAGTGCAGAAGCTTGGAGAGGGTGTGAGATGAATAGGCTGGGCGGGGGGATGATTTGCGAAGGCAGTGATTTGCAGCGGCAGGCCGTGCGCGGGCCTGTAGTTTGGGGCATTGAAGGTGTGACTGTGTTGGGCACGGGTTTGTGCAACACGTCCTTTTTTGTGAGGTGGCTGCATTTGTTTGATGTTTGTGTCATATGTGATGTGGATGTGGCTGTGTGATGTGTGATGTGGACGCAGTTCTCCAGGCACAAGTACACCTCGGTTTGATTCACGCGACATGTTGCATGGGACATATCACATGATTGTTTACGGCACGGTTTTCATATTGTACGCTGCGCAAGCTCACGGCAATCCTGTGAATATGCACAAGTGACGGCAATCAGCATGTACTCGTGCACCGGTGCATGTGAATCGGTTTGTTTTTGATAGGCATCGCCTGGCGGGTTTCTATTCGGGGTGGAAGACCAGCCTCGGAGGCTTCATCCAGCAGCCGGGGAGAGTGGACTCAGGGCGCGGGCGACATTACGTGCCTTGGGAGCCTGAACGTCTCGCTGCTACACGATATGACGTGTCGCAGTCGACACGGAGGTCTGCACAAAAAGTTGATGTCACATATTGCAGTACATATTGAGCATGTATGACTCAGCTGTGTTGAACATGAATGCCAGGTAGGTCATCTTGAAAAAATGCATTGCATCGTTAGAATAGTCAACCTGAGCTGCATTGGAGATGACTTACGGTTGGGTGGCGGTCAAACCCTGTGTTCCAAGGTCTAGCAGGGGAGGGGACTAGGGCCAAAGTAACTTCAGAGCTTCAATACATATCGTACATAAGGTTCCGTCGGAACCGACCTTGCAGAAGAAATCCTTAGCATGCACATCTTCATCCTGGGAGGAAACGCTGCGTTTGGGAATGTGTGTGGGGGACTCGTGTCGTGCGTTGCGGGTCCTAGGGGACCTTGCAGAGCGCACTTAACATTGCATCTAATACTAAACTAATAATAATTCTTCCGCGCAATTGAGTTAAATTGCGCAATAACCCGACCCAGCCGCTTTGACACACACGTGTATTTGTCATGTGTTGGCGACGCCGGGGCCAAATATTGTTGGGGTATGATACCCCAACCCATTACAAAAACCTGAAAAGGAGGACACCTTGCCTGAACCACGTGCGCGAGCTGCGTGCGCTCTTTTGCTGATGTAGTCAAATTGAGTTTGCTTGAACGTGGTGCACGTAGGGTCATGGGATGAGGCACCGTAGGGGGAGGATCGTAGTGCTGATGGCGAGAGGCGCGCAGCTTGAGGCTTAATTACCTTGTCTACCTAGTGCGGTTGTTGGGTTGGGTTGGGACCTTCGCGGCATCTAACGAAACGCGGTCGTGGTGAGGTGTCGTCGGACCGGCAGGTAGGCAGGCAGGCAGGCAGGTAGGCAGGTGCACCCTGGATTATGTACCCGGCGTCGAGGATTGGACTCCGGGGATGAGAGAGGGTTTGCATGCACTGTGTTGCAAGCCGCTGCATGTGCCTTTCCTACCGTAATCGTGCATTGCATGGCCCTCCCTGGGGTAACGGATACCCCGGCTGGCGATGTAATATAGGGGTAACGTTTAGGGGTAAGTCGCTTGTCCGTCCGTCAGTTCGTCAGTTCGTCAATCAGCCGGTGCCCTCGAGGCAGGGAATTCCGTTAATGATGATGTAACGAACTGGACGAGCGGGATTGGCCAGGCGCCTAAAGACGAACGTATCAGCAACTCGCATGCACAGCGTCAAGAGGTTGAGACACCTACCATGTACGGCAGTGCACGGCGGGCTGATGTAACCAAGTTCACTTAGCAGAGATGTCATATGTTGTGCTTACAAATTATGAGATGCCATATGTACGCAGTTACGGTCATCGTTCCGGTATGGCTCACGGTGGTGCAGCACAACAATGGTTTTCATCTTAGGAAGCGCGCATGGCGGGTGGCGGGTGGCGCGCTTGCACGGAACGAACTGCGAAGAGCCGTGTCGCAGGGCCATCCATCGCAGACGCAGACCGGCGGGGCGCCAGACCCGCCAGACCCGGCCGCAGTCGCAGGACCCCCGGGGGGAGGGGCCCCTTCTGTGAACTCCCCCTCCCCCGGGCGCCCGTTACAAACGCAGCGCAGCGCAGCATCTCGTGCCTCCCCACCACCCCACCACCGCACTGCACAGACGAGGCCACCCCGGACCAAACCACCTCCGCACACTCCGCTGCAACCAACGGTGTCACACACCACCCAGCGGCATCACCCACTCATTCAGGTGCTACATCGCCACCACCGCAGGGGGGAATGAACGGCTACTGTGCGCGAGGCCACTGCTTTGGCCACCACGCAGGCGAGTACGACACCGCTCCATTTTCCTCAGGACCACCACCGCCACAGGCGGGTGCGTTCTGTCACAGTAAGGCAAAGCCATCTGCCGTCATCATCGTACCATATAAATGCTGAAGCAGTCGGTCCCCAAGGTAAAGCAGATGTCTCGCCCGCCAACATTCCATGTCACCGGACAGCTACTACTCCATTTCTCTGCACCGACTGCTCAGCCCCTCCAAGCACATCACTTGCACGCCTGCGGGACATAAGGGCTGGCGCTCTAACCCCCAACTTGCCCCAAGGGGCTCAACCAAACCACGAGCCGCCACCGTAGCTCAAACAGTTCTCGGCGCCACGAACCTGCTGCCGTACGTAACATCCGAAACCCAACTGTCGTATCATCGCCACACCCCACGCGCGACCCCCTCACTGCCGCCTCATGGCCTCCGGAGCTACAGCGCCGCCAAGGCGAATCTCCCGTTGGCAGCAGCAGCGGCGGCGGCGGCGGCGGCGCACCGCACCGCCACCGCCGCCGTCACCGCGAGAGGTTCTGCTGCTGTTGTTGCTGCCTGTTAGCAGTCTTCGCGGCTGCCGTCGTGTTCAGCGCGTACATCATGCGTGCAAAGCCGCTGTCCAGGCCGCCTCCCTGTGGGAGGTGCTGGGGGGGCTCCAGGCCCCACGGCCGTGTCCCCGCCCCGCAGCCGACTGCAGCAGCGGACACCGGCAGTCAGGCGCTGGAGAGCGCTTCAACCACCAGCTCAGCTACACGGGCTGAGCTAGCGGGGTTCTGACCTGTTCGGGGGATAACGGCAGTTTTTTTGCACGACAGCAGGTTAACGACCGCTCGAGATGGGGGACCTGGGGATGGTGACGGTGGAGGAGGAGGAGGAGCTTGGCGGTCCCCCGACTGGTTTGCCTAGTGTGTTTTTCTCGCAGTTGGCAGGTTGAAGGTCGCACCTCAGGCTGCGGCCCTGGTCGACGGTACCTGATAGGAGAGCTCTCCTGCTGCGGGATCTGCTTCCACCCTCACTTCCAACCTCCTCCTATCTGTAGGTTAACTGTCACCCGTTGCGGGTCTCTGCTGAAACTAGGCCATCAGGCCATCAGGCTCGCTCAGCCCGCAAACGGCGTGGCCATGCAAGGCCGGGTCGCACACCGGTCGCCGGGTGCAGCAATGTACGGGGGAGTACGGGGGACGGAGAGGTCGCATGTTGCTACCGGTTGCTCCGCACCTACCGGTTACGAGGTTGCCGTCTCGGAGAGCGAAAGGCGCCCACTTCTCCGGTGCGCTCTGGAACACGGCCCCCAGCTCCTTCAGCCTCGTCTCCAGCAGGAAGGGGACCAGCTTCTCCTTAGCCACGGCGAACTCCTCCGCGTCGCTGAAGCATGTTGCCTGGACATACAGCGCGGGATAGATCCAAATCCGAATCCAATCCAGGGGAGGGAGCAAGACTCAAGAGTTTGTTCTCATGCGACCAATGGACCAGGGGGCCAGGAAGGGAATGGACCTGTGAATGGTTAAGCGCCGTTAGTCACGGATCCGAATCCGCGCACCGGACTGTTTTCCCGAAAGGGGTGGCACAGGGCATGAAGAGGAGGGCTGACATCCCCCCCCCGCCCTGACCCCGCCACCTCGTGCCCTCCTCGACACCCATAAGGGGGCCAGAGAGCATCCCTCCACACCCCTAACTCCGCACATCCCGTCCATGGACACAATGTTTACAGGTTGTCCTATTCCGCTGATTCCTTGGGAGCTCCTGACAGGACACCAGCCTTGCCCGGCCTGGAGCACACACACACACACACACAGTCGCTCACACACACAGCTGCTGGCCCCACCTTCTTCCCAGCCACCAGCGGCTGCCCATCTGGCCCCTTCACATTGACCAAACCCATGGGCCCGTGGCAGACGGCGGACACGACCTTGTTGGCCTCCACGAATTGCGACAACAACGCAAGAAGCTCGGCATTATCTGTTGGTTGGGCAGTGGGGACATAGCCGCGGGCGGACAGCGGTCACAGTCTCCATGAAGTAATGTCCCCTAGTAGCAGTAGCAGTAGTAGGCAGTGGACCCGGGAGTACTGAAGCGGAGGACCCGGAAGGGCTCATCGCGATTCATTCAAGGAAATATATCTCATCCACCTCGACGTCCAAGTGGCATACATGTGTTGGAATCCACGTGTTCCCCCACGTGATCCATACACGTCGTCTGGCCCACCTGGGAAGTCCCAGCAGGTCCCGTGACCTCCGGGCAGGAACACCGCATCGTAGCCCGCCGCCGTGACTTGCGACAGCGGCAGTGACTCCATGAGGCCCTTCATGGCCGCGTCTATTTCCACACGATGAAGCACCAGCAGCAGCAGCAGCAGAGCCGAGCGAGAGGAACACCGACCGGGGAATAGCGGTGAGCAAATGTGGAGGTGGAGGGGGAAGAGGAGGACCTTCAGATGTACCCCATGTTTCGAAATGCAAATCAAAACGTATTTGCCACAGACGGATAGAATTGAATGTGCTCTTGCGGTTCGTCCGTCCGTCCGTCCGTCCGTCGGTCAGCGGAAGAAAGTGGGCGAGGCGGTGGGGAAAGCGGTTCGCGCCGCAGTGCTTGGGAGGTAAGAGGGTTGGAGGCTTCATGTTCCTAAAAGGATGTGCGAGTGCCAGTTATATAATTCTGAAAATTTTCTGATGTCCAAACTGCTACAACGCTACCCGTTTTTTAGCTTCCTGGATAGATACCTCGTGCTTTCGGTTTGTACGCTAATGTGGGGATAAGTGCTGGGACGAGTGCGGGACGAGGGCTGAGAAGGGTGCGGGACGAGTGCATGCAGTGCTGGTATCGGCATCGGTCTGTCACTGCGTAGGCGCGCGCGATAACTCGAGGGTCAACAAGGCAGCCTTCACTAAACCCCCACCCCTTTCACACAAACCGCACACGCACATGAGGTACAGCAAGGCACTGCACTGCACTGCACGGCACGGCACGGCATGCAGACTCACCATCTAGTAAGAACTCCTCGACCTAAGACAGTCATGTTTATGAGCCAGGCGCAGGCATCAGGCAGGGGTGCAAACGTCAAATAAATATAAATTTTTGACGTATTGTTTGGACAATTCAAGACATGCACATGCACAAGCACAGCCAAAGACCACGGACACAGAATGGGTCCTGGGCAGATGCTGTCGCCGCAAGAGGCATCCTCTGCTTCGTAGTTGTCATTGTTGTGGTGGTGATGGCGGTGGTATTAGGGGCGCTTAGCTGCCTACCAGGTGACAAACCCCGAAAGGGAGCCCTCCCCCTAAGGGGCCCCATTAACCAATAAATTAAATCGGCACGAGATGCAGCGCAATGTGCATTGAGTCACACAGCGACAGGTCGACATTACCTCCTTTGTGAGGAAGGGCGGGTTAAGACTGGCCTCGTCCATCGGAACTTCACCTCCCTTGACGGAGGCGATAGTGACGTTGTAGCCATGCTTCTTCCAAATATAATAAGGCGCGACTACTTCCTCAGCCCTGAGCGTCAGGAAAAACGTAGGTTGCCGAGTTAATGCTTGCGAAAGGCGGATGCCGAGACGCCAACACGACACATTTACCAGCAGCCCGTTGGCTCATCGGTATCTCCAAGCCTGTCACAGGAAGTGCAGACGATTAGGATGTTCTTAGCCATAATCGCAAACCGGGGGCTTGCCGATCGACGGATGGAAGAGAACTCAAGGATTAGCGTCGGACAAGCTTCTTTAATAATAATGCTTTTATAACGATTCTATCATGACCGCGTACTATATATGGGCTGCGCGCAACAAGGTATGTTGCCCCAAGCAACATACGGTACTGTAACGTACACTAGCGTGCGTAGTGACAGCATAAAGGCCAATTGCAATACCATTTTTCACTGTTAGCGATTGTTCACTCACGACAATGCAGACAGTCCTTAGCACACATAAGCATGTGGCTGTACCTCGGCCTGCGATATGTCCGGGCACAGTGAAGCCAGTGTCCATCTCTTCTCTGACAACATTTACTTCACGCCCACCATTATGGCACGCGCGCGGTGCTTCGTTTGTGTGCTCCTCCTCAGCGGCGTCACCCTCCGCCCCTGACGGCGACCCTGCTCAGTCCGCCACACCTGTGGCGGGGAAAAGGTATGACATACCGGGCTGACGCAACGCAACGAGGGGCTGTGCATCAAGACCTGGAACAGCACAGGCACAAACCCAGCTCGTGTGGCATATCCCCATCTTCTGCAATCTTCCCCTACCTCTGCCAACACGACGTCCTCGAGGGGGAAACGGGAAACGGGTGGGCTGCACCAGTCCCGCCACCAGCCTGAAATTCTCGTTCGGCCTCAAGGCCCCACATGTGTAAATGGCCGTTCTGGCCACATGGCTCGGCTCGGTCCGGTTTGTGCCGGTATGCAGTGTCGCTCCGACATGGCGATCCACAAGGGCGCGTGCAGAGGGATGTAGGAAAGCCGTCAGGCGCCTCCAGCTAATGCTAAGCTATGCTGTTTGGGCCTCCGTGTACCTCATTATTACAAAGCCGCGTTCCATTGTCGCATTCGGGCGTTTGAAGCCTTGCCAAGCTTGAGGCAGCGTCTGCAGGCAGGCAGCATCCTTTCCAGGCGACACAAGCAGCTTGTTGTGCGCGGTCCACGTTTCGTCGGGACGCAGCTGTCTATTCCCCCGGTTTCGGAGCCACACTGCGCAGAACCTCTTTCCCTTTCCCACAGGGAAAGGTTTTCCAAAAATGGAAAATAGAATTATCAAGTCACGTTGTATGGCTTTGGCGAGCTATGGCGAGGTCCCCGTGCACGCGAGAGTCATGGAACGGGGACCCCAAAACGAACGGCGCAAGGCCTCACACGGGGAACGTAAACCCTCCCCGTCAAAATCGCAACAATTTGCAATTTTCTTCGGTAATGTTTCAGCAGCTCCAAAACGTTCAGATGAATGCTTGGCAAGCTGGGCGTCTCCCGCACGAGAATGGCAGATCCGCAGATGCGCGGAAGTGTCAACCAGCACCCGTAATCACATTGTCGTAGAAACGTTGTATCTAGCTACCCATTGTCCTAAAGGTTCGAAGCGGTCATGTGCAGCTGTACGAAGCCTTATTGTTAGGTATGGATTCAAAGAATCCATAATGGTTACGAAAGCAGTTTCAAAACCAACCTTTGCAGTTACCATACTTGGGGATACCCTCATAACCTTAGACTGCAAGGATACGTAAAGCTGTTATCGTAAGATCAGGGATTTAGGTCCTGTTATCGTAGTGCCAGACCGACTTTGAAAGACGCGTTTCGCATTCTTACCGTTTGCAAACGCAGACATTTATTTTACAATTGCACGTGCACTATTACGTTGGACGTGAGGTTGCGCACTGCTCAAATGGCGCCGAGAGTGAGTTTGACAATGACAGCTGGTCGTTACGGGCGCAGTCGCCAAGCTAGACGACCGCTGCCATTCCCGTTTCTCAGGAGAGAACCGCTCGCGATCAAGTTCGTGACAAAGCTAAAAACTGCGCAAACCGGCTGGAAGAAGTCTTCGACCTGGAGCATCCACCGGAGAGCTTCGCCGGCACTGGGCCGATTAAGCAGCATACTGGGGCATTATTGTTTTACACAATTCCTACGCAAAACCGGGTGGTAGTTCGCCGGTATGGGGCCTTCAAGAGGCCTCAGTTCGACAGGGTAGTGAACCAGCTAGCAGACAGATCGTGCGCGCAGCTGGCCCTGCTCAGCCCTCCCGCGGGAGTTGCTTTGCGTGCTAGGCGGTTCTTGAAGGGTCAACACGCAATGCCACCGTCTGACTTTTGGCGGAAGGTCGGGCGGCTTGCGTGGAGTATGGTTCTCAAGCCGGCGCTTGAGAAGCATTTCCGTGCCAGCTGGAAAGAGAAGCTATGCAACCGGGGCAATGGAGGGGAGGACAGGGCGTCACGGCACTGGATCATCACCGACAACGAGGAGGGCAGGTGTGGCTGTGGAGGTCACTGTGCGGAAGCGCGTGAGATCTTGGGCTTCCCGCAAGACCTTCCAGTCGTGGACTTCATGGTGCTCCCTTTTGGGAAGGAGCACTACATGAAACTGGCAGCATGGGCGGCGGATGTTCCCGACCTTGGGAACAAGTTCCAGCAGCGACAGAAGGGGTAAGCAAAGCCGAGCAGCACAAGCATGTACCATCACGTCGACATATACCTACAGATAACACAGTAAACATGGAATGGTCGTTATGATTTTGCAGGCTGGAGGAGGCCTGGGAGCGCGAGAAACACGAGCTTCGCGAGGTAGGGGCCTCCCAGATTTGATATGCTATCATTCCTGTTTGTCAGCACCGACATATGCACCCATGTGTGGACCCATTCACGCAGGCTAAGGCGCGGGCTAAGAAGGTTCAATGCAGCCTTGAGTCATCAGAGGAGCCCGATGATGACACTGAAGCTGCTGGCATGGGTGCGGTGACAGGTGGGGGCTCCTTCCCCCTCCCTTCCCCCTCTCCCTTCCCCCTCTCCCTTCCCCCTCCCCCTTCCCCTTCCCCCTCTCCCTTCCCCCTCCCCTTCCCCTTCCCCCCTCCCCCTTCCCCTTCCCGGTTCTGTGCTTTTTGGTTGCCCCTTCCACGTTCCGATGGGCGATAATGATCACCCGGGGTAGTTCACCGTGTGCCTTTTCTTGGGGTGTTTGTGGTCTGCATGTGCCGTCAGCCCCACTTCTATCTAGCATGTTGCCTGTGGTCAGTGAACTACTGCCAGTCCATTGTACTAATGTCAATGTGGTATGGCTCATCACCAGGCAGCGGGGAGGAGAGTGAGCGAGAGCAGGTGCCGCGTGCCCTGATCAACGAAACTGACCTTGAGTGGGCCTTCAATCAGAACCACGGCAGCAATGTGCAGAAGGAGGTCGGGATCACGCGAATCGCCGAGCAGCTGGGCTGTCACAAGCGAGACGCCGCGGTGATGGTGAAGGGGTTGATGCGCTCAAAGGGGATCCGCTGGGGCCAGCCTACACCAGATCAGGTACGGTGGGTGCCTCATAGCAACAGCAAGGGTGCTTAGTACGGGTAGTTTTCAGGTGCGGGTGCACCACTGAGCCTTTTGTGGGTCCACTGTAATCGTAATGCTGTGAGAAAGGCTGTAGTCTTATCGACAGTGTCTTTCGCACACAGGCTGAATACATTTTGCAGCACTTCAAGTTGCTGCGGGCGGGCGCCTCAGAGGCGGAGGCTGTGGAGAGCACTGTGCTGGACATGGCCGGGGCCTGGAAGCAGAAGCCAGTGCTCGACATCCTGCGTGGTGCAGGCATGCTTGAGCGTCGCGGGCCTGGGCGGCCGCCAAGGCAGATCACGGAGCAAGAGGTCAGCGACAGCTCCACACCAAGTGCATCAGGGGGTGAGAGTGGAGTAGATGATGAGGAGTTCGTGTCACAGAGCTTAGGGGGGGATATCAGCACCAGTGAGGAGCCGAGCGAGCTTGGCACCCTGGGATCCCCTGGTGTCAGCACCCCAGGCAGGGCTGGGGAGCTGGTGGGAGCAGGCGGAAGCGGCTGGCCAGGGACCGGGGGTGGCGAGCAGGCGACCGGGGGTGGCGAGCAGGCGACTGGGGGTGGCGAGCAGGCGACCGGGGGTGGCGAGCAGGCGACTGGGGGTGGCGAGCAGGCGACTGGGGGTGGCGAGCAGGCGACTGGGGGTGGCGAGCAGCCAACCAAGGGGGGCGAGCAAGCAACAGGGGCTGGCCAGCTGGGGAACAGGGGCGGCCGGAGCCAACGCCCGGGAAGGGGCGCCAAGCTCGCGGCTTTGCTACAGAGAGAGCGTGGGGGGTCTAACAGGAACCAGACCAAGTGAACTGAGGGTTAATCTAGGACTTGGGTTTGGGGAGAGTGACGGGATTCTGAACGATTGCATATTGGATGATCGTGCTGTGTGTGTAAAATGAGTATTCAAACAGCAAGGTCGGGGAATGCATGACCTTGTCTGACCGCATGACCTGGCTAGTGTTCACAACTGAGGCCGAGTAAACCCTGGCTACGGCAATAATGCTTGCAACCGGAATGCAGTCCCCCATTCCAACACCCGAGTGTCACCAGGCCCCCCCCCTGCAGCTGTCAAGTGCCCTAGCGCCCCGACCCAAAGTCAAGCGTTCGGGCTGATTTTTTGCAGACAGGCCCTAAATACCCTCACAAGGCCACGGCTCTAAGCGCGCGTCCAGATTCCGACATCTCCCAATCCAGATTCCAACACCCGAGTGTCACCAGCCCCCCCCCCTGCAGCTGTCAAGTGCCCTAGCGCCCCGACCCAAAGTCAAGCGTTCGGGCTGATTTTTTGCAGACAGGCCCTAAATACCCTCACAAGGCCACGGCTCTAAGCGCGCGTCCAGATTCCGACATCTCCCAATCCAGATTCCAACACCCGAGTGTCACCAGCCCCCCCCCCTGCAGCTGTCAAGTGCCCTAGCGCCCCGACCCAAAGTCAAGCGTTCGGGCTGATTTTTTGCAGACAGGCCCTAAATACCCTCACAAGGCCACGGCTCTAAGCGCGCGTCCAGATTCCAACATCTCCCAATCCAGATTCCAACACCCGAGTGTCACCAGCCCCCCCCCCTGCAGCTGTCAAGTGCCCTAGCGCCCCGACCCAAAGTCAAGCGTTCGGGCTGATTTTTTGCAGACAGGCCCTAAATACCCTCACAAGGCCACGGCTCTAAGCGCGCGTCCAGATTCCGACATCTCCCAATCCAGATTCCAACACCCGAGTGTCACCAGCCCCCCCCTGCTAGTCAGCCAGCTTATCATCAAGCCGTGGCAACCTACTTACGTCCTCTGGCACATGTCCGTTTAACAGGAAGGTGAATGCAGCTAGCATGCGGCTATTGAAAGCCAGATGCTTTTCAAGCAGGTATTGTTCACCCTCACTAGGTCGACGCATCATTTCGGCTTCCAGAATCCGCACTCGGGCCGTGTAATACTGCAAGGCGCGTGGAACCTCCTGCAAGAGAAGCATGGACTCCTCCATGGCCCGCTTCTGGTCCTGCTGCAAGCGCACCAGCCGGGCTTCCTGTTTGATGAGAGATTCCTTCCTAGCGACATCTGCAACCGGGTCCCAGGGGTACTTCTGCTTCAGCGCCCGTTGTGCGGCAAGTGGCGCACAAATGGCAGCACGCTGGCTCTCCGACATTTTGCTGCCACGCTGGGTACACCAAACTCGCAGCTGCTCCCATAGCCGGTCTAGGCGCTGCTTGGTGGCACGCTTATCGCGAATCGCTTGCTGCTGCTCCTTCTTCCGCCCATGAAGGTGGTCCACCACCCGTTCCAAGCTGTAGTAATCCATACCAGCAGCCTGTGTACAGCAGGGACCTTCGTCATTACATGTCATGCAATTTACGTATGCCATCCATCCCTTACCTCGATTTCAGTGCAGAGCTTCTTCTCCTCGGTGCGGACAAGCATCCTGAAGCCACTCTTGAACTCGTCTGACTCTGGCAGCCACACCTCGCGGTTAATAGTCTGTGCTGCCTCCAGGCTAGCCACCTGGCCTCGAACTGAGCGGATGAGGGCTGGGCGCTGCCGCATCGTTAGTGAATCCGACCCTGGGAGTAATAAGCCGATCCCCAGGGTGCGTGGTCCCGGATCCTTCCCATCCGTTCGCTCCAGCTCACTGAGTGCCAGTCGCAGACGCACGTACTCAGCCCGCCACTGCTCACTTGTGTCGGCTGGTGGCTCAGCCGGTGCTCCACCGCCGCTCCCGCTGGCTCCAGCTCCAGCTACACGCTCCCGTACCTAAAGACATCACGAGCACCGTTATCCCTAAAACACAAAGCTTCCACTTGCTGTATTGACGCGTACCCCTTCTTTTATTTACCTGCTCTACAGTCTCCTTGCGTGCTTTGGCTAGACTCTGCTCCAAAGCCCCAATACGTGACGGCAAGCCCGCCATGGCAGCTTCAGTGCGGGTCTTCATCCGCCAAAGGCGATGTGGCATCCCCAAGACCACCTGCCTGCAGTAAAGCCGGCTGACACGCTCGAGGTGGGATTCACGGTTCACGGGCGCCATGTACCGCGTGCACTTGCCATGCCCGCCCACGATGCTATTGAAGATTTCAGCTGGCTCCCCGGTGCCGCGTCCCACACCGTCTTTGTGGTGATGCCCAAACTCCTTCTGGCAGGCAAAACTGCAATAAAATTGGCAACGTCATGTAATTGAACAACATTCCGCCCACATCCCTGCGGTTTAGGGCTTCGTACCTGTGCGCATACACATGCCAAGGTGGAATGAGGCACTGCATGCCCCGCCCTGCCTCCTGTGTCGCCGGATCTTGCTGCTCCAGCCACTTGCCGTACGACCGGCCCCATCGACAAGCAATGTCGTACCACCAGTACTGCACAGCAGTACCGGCTGATAGCAATGACTGCACGGCTGCCGTGGAGTATGCATGCCGCTCGCCCGTGAACAGATTTAACAACCTCAAGAGGACTCCATGACGGCAAAGGGCGACACCAACAGCTGTCACCAGTTTCTGCAATGAATGCGAATCCGTTATCCGATGTGCATCCTGGTGGGTTATCGCCTCCATCCCTTTCCCCTTCAAGATTGACACACCTGCTTAGATAAGGGTGCCACCACCCGATCGGCATGGAAGTTGGAGCAGTGGTTTGGACCAACGTCTTGAGCGGCAGAGTCATCACCGATGGCAGAGAGGATGACCCCGTTGCTAATGAAGAATCGCCGGCGCTGTAGCTGCACATACGTCTTGTGGTACTTGGGCCGGGGCAGCAGGTCCAGCTTGAAGTTGGCATCGAAATGCACCGAGTGCATCGCAGCTGGGCCAGGACCTGCTGCCTCCACTGATGAAGCCCACAGCGTACGAGCCCAGGACAGCTCAGCAGGCCGGTGGTCTGCTTCTGCCCCGACCGGATGCACATCCTCAAGTGCTTGACCTCCTTCCACCTCCTGTCCTGCACCGATGCCGGCAGCCACTCTACACACGCCCGATGTTGCCGCTGCATCAGGCTCTATACCAGTAGGCTCGCCTTGTGGGCTGTGAGCGAACCCTGAACCCCTCGACGGGTAGGTCTTCTCGTCTCCGCAGCACGGGCACGCGTTCAGAGCGCCGTTGCACCACCCCACTAAGCCCTCAGGGTAATCCTCCTCCATCCCCTGAAGGTAATGATACAGCAACAGCGCCTGCCGAAGGCGTTTGCGGAGGGATATGGTGGTGGCAATGGAGTCCTGAAAACCGTTGCAACTCCAGTTCTCCACCATCGCAGCACAGAAGCGGTCGGCACTGATATGGCGGGTGTAGAATGCCAACTGGTCAAACTGCTGGAGGATCAACTGGTGCCACCAGACCACAGCGATGCCGGCCCGTCGATCGCTGATGTCCCAGCTAACATTCGAGTCCTGAAGGCAGTCCACTGCTGTAGGTCGGATGCTGAACTGCTTCCGGCAGGTTCCGCAGTAGTGAACAGGAACCTCCAGTTCAATAGGCTGATCCCACGTCACCACGGTGACCGGACAAGACAGTGGGTTGCCGGAGCTCTCGGCCCCGCACGTAGGGCAGGTACTGACGTCCGCTGCGGTGACTGCATTCCTAAACGTGACCCCCGCCTGATGAAGCAGATTCTTACGGGATGCGATGGTTTTGTGGACGAACTTAAAGTATACCTCCGCCACTAGCTGGCGGGAGTTCGCGTCCTCAGGCCCATCATCCTCATCGATGTCCGAACCCTCACCCGATGATGCATCCTCCTCACCCACGGTATTCACATCATCATGTATATGGTTAGTATAGAAATACTGCTCTACGGGACCTTCGTCTTGCTCAGGCTGCGTGTCGAGCAAGGGCACATGTCCTTTTGTGGCGGCGTTTTCCGCAGTTTTTTTCTGTGCCTTCACTACGATTTCTGTCTTCTTAAGGTCAGGTTTTGGTTTCGATGGCTTCTTGGCTACAGGCAAGTAAGGGTTGATACCGCTATACATGACAGCACGATTACGGCCCGGTATAAATAAGTAGCATTCCTTTATACTGGAGGACAGCACCTGGGTATGGATTAGAGAGAAGGAACGGTTCGGGGAGTACGGTTTGCACCGCCATTTATCATTACACCTGATTAGTTTGCAGCTTTCACAGCATCTGAACGTTTTGGAGCTGCTGAAACGTTACCGAAGAAAATTGCAAATTGTTGCGATTTTGACGGGGAGGGTTTACGTTCCCCGTGTGAGGCCTTGCGCCGTTCGTTTTGGGGTCCCCGTTCCATGACTCTCGCGTGCACGGGGACCTCGCCATAGCTGGCGGTGGTATTAGGGGCGCTTAGCTGCCTACCAGGTGACAAACCCCGAAAGGGAGCCCTCCCCCTAAGGGGCCCCATTAACCAATAAATTAAATCGGCACGAGATGCAGCGCAATGTGCATTGAGTCACACAGCGACAGGTCGACATTACCTCCTTTGTGAGGAAGGGCGGGTTAAGACTGGCCTCGTCCATCGGAACTTCACCTCCCTTGACGGAGGCGATAGTGACGTTGTAGCCATGCTTCTTCCAAATATAATAAGGCGCGACTACTTCCTCAGCCCTGAGCGTCAGGAAAAACGTAGGTTGCCGAGTTAATGCTTGCGAAAGGCGGATGCCGAGACGCCAACACGACACATTTACCAGCAGCCCGTTGGCTCATCGGTATCTCCAAGCCTGTCACAGGAAGTGCAGACGATTAGGATGTTCTTAGCCATAATCGCAAACCGGGGGCTTGCCGATCGACGGATGGAAGAGAACTCAAGGATTAGCGTCGGACAAGCTTCTTTAATAATAATGCTTTTATAACGATTCTATCATGACCGCGTACTATATATGGGCTGCGCGCAACAAGGTATGTTGCCCCAAGCAACATACGGTACTGTAACGTACACTAGCGTGCGTAGTGACAGCATAAAGGCCAATTGCAATACCATTTTTCACTGTTAGCGATTGTTCACTCACGACAATGCAGACAGTCCTTAGCACACATAAGCATGTGGCTGTACCTCGGCCTGCGATATGTCCGGGCACAGTGAAGCCAGTGTCCATCTCTTCTCTGACAACATTTACTTCACGCCCACCATTATGGCACGCGCGCGGTGCTTCGTTTGTGTGCTCCTCCTCAGCGGCGTCACCCTCCGCCCCTGACGGCGACCCTGCTCAGTCCGCCACACCTGTGGCGGGGAAAAGGTATGACATACCGGGCTGACGCAACGCAACGAGGGGCTGTGCATCAAGACCTGGAACAGCACAGGCACAAACCCAGCTCGTGTGGCATATCCCCATCTTCTGCAATCTTCCCCTACCTCTGCCAACACGACGTCCTCGAGGGGGAAACGGGAAACGGGTGGGCTGCACCAGTCCCGCCACCAGCCTGAAATTCTCGTTCGGCCTCAAGGCCCCACATGTGTAAATGGCCGTTCTGGCCACATGGCTCGGCTCGGTCCGGTTTGTGCCGGTATGCAGTGTCGCTCCGACATGGCGATCCACAAGGGCGCGTGCAGAGGGATGTAGGAAAGCCGTCAGGCGCCTCCAGCTAATGCTAAGCTATGCTGTTTGGGCCTCCGTGTACCTCATTATTACAAAGCCGCGTTCCATTGTCGCATTCGGGCGTTTGAAGCCTTGCCAAGCTTGAGGCAGCGTCTGCAGGCAGGCAGCATCCTTTCCAGGCGACACAAGCAGCTTGTTGTGCGCGGTCCACGTTTCGTCGGGACGCAGCTGTCTATTCCCCCGGTTTCGGAGCCACACTGCGCAGAACCTCTTTCCCTTTCCCACAGGGAAAGGTTTTCCAAAAATGGAAAATAGAATTATCAAGTCACGTTGTATGGCTTTGGCCCCTTTTCCTTTCCCTCGGCCCTTTTCGCTTACAGCACGAGTCCCGGTCTGCTGGGCCGCATAAAGCGCTTCTTTCTCGGGGACAAGCTTGACAAGGAGAAATTGGCTCAGCTAGGCATGGGCGCCTTTGCGAGCTATGGTGCGTTGCCTAGTTAGGCCGCCTGCCTGAAGATAGTTAAGGCGTTGTAAAAGCAAACAATGAATGACGGTCAGGAGGGAGCGGTTTAGGATTACGAGTGGAATGTGTGATGTGATGGATGGGACACACAGCGCTTAGGAGTTATCAGTTTGGGCTTCGCGTCGGGGCGGGAATGGTAGGTAATGCCGAGCCCACATGGCCTTTCCAACAGTAACCCCAGGGAAATCTGCTAGCCATACCAATGCCAGCTCGAAGCTGCTACTCGAAGGATTGTGTTGCTTAAGACCCAATGTTGGGACGCCCCCTCAGGCTTCATCTCGAACGTTACTTACTGCACCTGCCTGGGGATAGCCTGGATCAGCTTTGTCAGGGCCACTGGCACGTCGCCGCTTGCTGCGGGCCAATGGCCGGCGTTCCTGGGCTTCTACGCCGGCCTGTGGACCGTCCAGGTGTGCTGGTGTTTCGTTGCCTTATTGAGGAGCAATAATGATATAATGGAGCAAACAAGTGAATTTCTGCAGTGCATGTGGTCGGTCGCGATGTGGGTTGTGCTGCCGGCACGCGCGTGGTTGTGTCCATGCCTCCGTGTTTGCTGCGCGTGGGGTTGCAATCCGTTGCCGTTCCGTCTGCCGCCAGCGGCCCCCGGGAGTGCCTGACGCCAGCGAAGGTACTTTAAGGTACTTTTCCGACGAACCGACTGACTGAGATTGCCGATGAGATTGCCTCATAAATATTGATGACCCTGCCGATGCCGCAGAACTTCGCACGTCCGCTTCGCTTCAGCTTGGCTATCGCCATGGCGCCCGTCTTTGAGAGGCTCATCTTGTGGGTGTCCAACACAACGGGGTTATCGAAACGCTTTGCGTTCGGTCTCTACCTGCTGTGCTTCTCTTTCGTAACGGTCACAGTCACTTTCGGTACCATCTACGTGCTGGGTGGATTTCCTCCGACCACGGCCTGAAACAGTATTGTTAGTCCTTTCAAATGGAAGAAGAGTGCAGGAAGAAGACCTGTTCGATAGGAAGGATATGGTCTGCACCATACGGCGAGGCACAGAGCCGTTTCGTTCCGCGTGGCTCCCCGAGTGCTTCGCGACGGCGATGGTGTGCAAGCGCATAAGACTGTATGATACTGTATCCTGAATGAAATGGAAGGCTAGCTAGCGGGCGAGCCACGGGGGGCTTGGCAACCCTTTTGCACACTATCTAGCGCATGGGGCTCCGGGGCCTGGAGCATACATGCTGAGGCAATCCTTCGGGAAGATGAGAATACGCCATACTGGTATGCCATACAACGGGGCTTCTGGATCTTGAAGCGTTTGACTCTCTTGGAAGGCGTGGCATGTGGCTAACGACGCGATAGCTTCTGCGCCGGTTTATGAAAAAATCTACTAGGCGCTAGTATCAGGTCCTAATTTGTCTGTCCTTGGATTATTTGTTGTTGGCCCCCCTTAGCTTGCTTTACAGCGGTCGTAGGTAAGATCTGATGGATGGATGGATGTTACTCATGAACCGCTTTGACAGCGCCGTCGATAGGGAAAAAGAAAAAATGAGAAAAAGTAAACAAAAAAAAGTTTTATGCGAGAAGAAATCGAATGTTTATGGACTCGCATTTCCACCAGATTGTAGGGGGCACTGAGGGCCGCCGCAGCAGCTACTCTCTGATTTTGGGCTAAGCAGCTCTCACCAGCCCAGCCGTGTGGTATTGTAAGTGAGCACCCATTGACGAGGTTCATCATGCAATCCACTCTAACCTCATTAAAAGTGTTGATCTCGTTGTACAGTGCACCAAAATAGTCACGCCAGCTCACGCCAGCTGTTGACATCACGTATCGGGCAATCAGGTTTCACCCCCTGGTTGAGTTGCTGCCACAGTGCATGTGGATCCCCTTTGCACTCCCCAAGAAACGTAGTAAAATGCGACACTCGATGGGCAGCCATTGCCTCCTTCCAAATCCTCTGGTACCGTGAGCGCAGGAGTGTAAAGATATGCAGCGCCTGCTTATCAGCAAGTAATCCCTGTGGCCTCATATGTGCCTTCTGCAGCAGCATGTCGCTGCGTGCCGCTGCGCATGCCTGGGTCCACCAGGGTGCATCCTTTTCTTCCCTCACATGCTTGGGTACCGGGCACCGTTTGCAAAAAACCCTCTCCAACACAGATGAACAGGCTCAAGTGAGTACTTCAACAAACACGGTGCTATCAAGTTCGCCTCCAAGTTTGCTAACAGCATCTGAAATGCGCTGCACCGTGGGGGCATCATCAGCGGCAAACATGCTCTCGTATCATTTGCCCCTTCTAGTTGGGTTGATGCCCTTGCACAGCACCCCCAACTCGAGCAACACTGGGCAGTGGTCGCTCATGAGGCTACCCACTCTCGCTAGTGAGTGCGACAGGAATGTCTAGCATGTGCAATTGGTTCATCTCGAAGAAAAGGGTGGGTGATGCTACGAAGAGATCAATCATGCTGCTGCTGTTCCCCCTCGGACTCCAAAAAGTACACGCCCCTTGCAAATCTCCCTGGACACCCCCATTCAAAACAACCATCTCCATTTCCTGACACAGGGCCCTTCAACAGCCTAAAGACCTGGCAGGTTTCTGCAAACAAGTTTTCCACGGTTTTGCCACGCAGGGAAAGCTGGCCTTGGCGTTGCTGGCGGAGGATCCGCCGAACGTGAAGGGCGCTATTACAGTCCTCGAACCTATGTTGCACCGTGTGGAGGCCGGCATGGCGGTCACCAATGCCCTGGCGGCTGAACTGCACAACGGTCTTGCGGCTGCGGACATTCGTTTCAGCATACTATGCAACGAGGACAAGGTTCGGGACAAGACCAAGCCCAGAAAACTAGTAGGTGGAGTCAAAGAGCTTTAAAGCGTACTGCCAGCCGCTCGGGTGAGGGCCGGCCACCTGTACCGTCTCCACCTGTGCTGTGACCGCCAGCACCGGCAACATGCTTTAGAGCTTGCTTCTTGACTCCATTCACTAGTTTCCCGGGCTTGGTCTTGTCCCGAACCTTGTCCTCGTTGCATAGTATGCTTAAACAAATGTCCATAGCCGGCCAGCTCGGCCGCCAGGGCATTGGTAACCGCCATGCCGGCCTCCACACGGCACTTTAATAGCACCCTTCACATTCGGCGGAACCTCTGCCCGCAACGCCAAGGCCAGCTTTCCCTGCGTGGCAAAACCGTGGAAAACTTGTTTGCGGAAACCCGCCGGGTCTGTAGGCTGTTGAGCCCCGGTGCGGTCCACCAGGCGCCGCAACCGCTCCGGCGCCCCGCCGTCACTGCTCGATGACAAACTTGAACTTGAGCTATCGTCCTTCCTCTTCCTTTTGTCCTTGCTTCTTTTTGACTTGTCGGGCGCGACCGATGCCGGCCCTACATGGGCTGGCGACAGAATGGTGGCTGCCGGACTTTGGCCAGCTGTCATTACTTAAGCCATGGAGCCCAAGAGCTGGCTCTGCTCCGCCATTTGTTGCTGGAGTGGAGTGATATTCCGCGGGGCTGCCAGCCGGTGGAGAAGGACGGTTGAGCGGTGGTGAAAAGGTGATACCGCCGGCCTCACTAATAGCGGGACCGCGAGGCTGGTGGTAGTGTTGATCGCCACATTGGCGCCATCTTGGGCGGCCGTACCTTGCTGCTGCTGCAATTGCTCCTTGTCCAAGCTAGGCATATCCCTTAGATGACATGACAAGAACTTGAAGGAGAAGGTGATGACGAGGTAGGGCTTCAATGGCGAGCACGATGCTCTGTCCGAGATTACTAAGCAAACTGTCAGCTACGAGCTGAAGCTCTACTGAGTGAAAGGCCGAATGACTGAAATAAAGATGCTGAAGCATCTTATACTCGCCACTCAAATACGGTTGTACGACAGTCGCACAGAACCAGACTGAGAGACTCCGATCGCTTCGCTCCGTCGCACCTAAGTCAACAAACTGCATTCCGGAGGATGCCCCAGCAGGCTAATTACCTATTCGACGCAGCTCCCGTGGCAATACAGATGGGTGTACCACAGCCATCATGATTCGCACCAACCAAGTCCCACAGGAAGCGAAACTTTCTGGTATCTTCGACATGAACGTTACCGGTATGATGATGGGGGCCATATCTTCACCCGTGGCTGCTACCCGGCGAAACCCTGCCTTCCCCGGTATTTCGGGGCACCCTCATCCAGTCACCCTATTCAACTTCTCAGTGAATCACTTAGGGTTCGGCACCCACCACCAGCATCCAACGGAATCTGCCGAATCGACGACGACTCATATCCATTCCTGATCGACATGTAAGTCAATTTTAATCCAGGTCACCACCGTCCAACAACTTGGAGCACTTTACCCACCACCATCGAAAAGATTATCGGCCGTGACAGGTCTAATTCCCGCGATTTCCCGGGGGCAATCGTACGTGCTCTACCAGCAGTGCCTACCTATTGTATGCCGGTATGCAGGCTCAACCCATGCAACACGATTGCCTAGGCCCCCCTCTTCATATCTTTATGCGGCAATGATACGGCAATGACAACAAACCGTAGAAGCTCCGGGTGCATAGGACATTTCTTCGTCCACACCCTTGGGGGCTGCTGTCGCGGCTGCCGCTGTGGAAATTCCCTTCTCCGCCCACTCCACGTCGAAATTCGAGCGCCCGTTATTGAAGAGCCGACCTCATCAGAGAGACCAGCTGCATGCGCCCAGCTGCCCGCTTGTGGGACAAGCGGTCTTTAACACGGTAGGTCCTGCGTACTGTGCGATAGCGATAAGAATGGCGAACACTTGTTTGTGTGTTCTTTGGCCTCTGGCTCGGTTTCCTTGCTTTAGGCATAGGCATAGGCATAGGCATAGAAACTTGGCAGCCCGCTGTAACAACAAAGGAGGTGTGTGTTTTACAGCTTTTGGTGTGTGTGTTTTACAACTTTGGTAAATGCATGTAGGCGGTTATAAGGATAACACACTCAGCGGCTTCAAGGATTACACGCAACACACAGAGAACCGGATCGTCATCATTCCGGCACAACAGTGAACCGTTACATGAACATGCACCGCCGTGAACTAACCCTTTTTCTAATTACGCAGCTGTGTACCAGGGAGAGCGACCGAGGCTGTCGAAGTCCTTCGTTGCTTTTTCTCTCTCTCTCCCCTTCTTTAGGCAGCTCCTCCGATCAGCGACCTCCAAAAGGCAATGTCCCTACGTGCAGCAAACCTCCCCTCCCGCACTCTCTCAAATTTCTATGTCCCAGATAAAATCTCCGATATTCGTGTATTGCATAGATGTATCCCTTCCCTTGCTCGCTCTCTTCCTTTCCTCTCTCCGCGCATGCAAAGGAACCTGTGCCTACAAACAAGTGTTAATTTGCCAATTTCGTCGTGCTTGGTGTACGACAATGCCGCCGTACCCACGTTTTCTCAATTGCACGACATCTCCCCAACTCGCAACAACGCACAACAACAACAAATCCAAGCCAGCCCTGCCGCGCCCGGGCGGATCCCCTCCCTAGGATCCCCTCTCCCGCACCACTACACCGCCCGGACCCTCCCCCCCTGTTGTACACTGCTGTGGCTTCATAATCTACACAGCACACACTTCGCAACAGCAAAATAAGTTTTGCGGCGAAGCGCTCCAAAAAGAACATCATAAAATTATACAACAGCAGGCCTAGTTCTTGAGCAATAGGACCTCCTGAAAGGTCAGCCACCTTCCATAACAACAGCCTTTCCCAAAAGTGAACTTCGCACCCTCTACAAACGGCAATAAAAATAGGGGAAGGCATTAGTTGTCGCAACTGCACCACCAACCACCAACAACAACAGACTTTCCCGCGGAACCAGTTTTTGGCTATATAAGCATACAAGCAGCAGCAAAAATTACGTTAAAGTCATGATGCCGGAATGGCAAACAGCTGCGTCAGATTTTACGGCGCTACTCATATAAACTACATTTGCTACTCGGCTACAGCGGCAACAGCCAAAACAGACCATTCCCCTAATTATGCAACGCGGCCAGCAGCTTTTTAGGAAATACAGGAAAACGAAAACACGGTTTTCGTACGGAAGCTGCCTGATGATGTACACAGCTTATGATCATAAAGCATTTGCTCCTCTTAACTAGAGCATTACCGCCCCCGTAAGCCTCAGGACACACGCTGCACAAACCCAACGCCGCGGCGGGGCCCCCCCGCACGAAACAATGACACCCTGCTGCAGTTCTGTCTGGTGGTGGTATTTCTCCCCCCCCACCCACCAGCATACACACACATAAGTGCTAGGAAACAAACACACATGTACAAATATACGCATCCAACCACCTAGCAGCATTCACATCCCAATCCAGATATATCGGCGGCAGTGCTCAATTAATCATTAATGGAGCCGCACTCCCCCCTCTCTCTCTCGCCTCCTTCCCAGCCCCCCCATCGACACTCCATTTCCCACCGCACCATTTTGCTGTCACTGCAACCTTTCCAGAAGCATATTTGTATTCATATGTGTGTGTGCGTGTGTGTGCGCGTGTGCGTGAGATACCCTACCTGACCTACCATCCGCTGCCAGGTCTTCAATGAAAACACCTTTTCTCTCCTCTCTCTTATCACCCGCACACATCACATCACATCCATCGCCGCTGTCCGCCCCCACAAAGATATATCGCCGCCGCCGCCGCTGCCACCCTTCATCCCGGAGCTCCAAGAAGCACACTCGCCCACACACATACACACAAGCCCCTCAGGCCCTGAGAGCCGTGGAGACGAGACGGCGGCAGCACCTCCTCCCCCCCCCCCCCCGGGGGGAAAAGGGGTGATGTGATGCGAAGGTCCTGCCCAAAGGCACTCACAGCTTAGAGGGCGGCAGACAGCACGCCGGTACACTGGCATTGGCGCCACCGCCCGAGGCCCCCTGCTGCTGCTGCTGCTGCTGCTGCTGCTGCTGCTGCTGCTGCTGCTGCTGCTGCTGCTGCTGCTCGTCCTCCTCCTCCTTGCTTGCCGGGTCGCGGCAGGGGGGGAGGTCCACGGCCGGGTTACCCGCGAAGAAGCCGTCGGGCTTTAGGCTGAAGCCGCACACCTGAAGGCAATGGGGGGGTGAGGTGGGGTTGAGGTGGGGTTGAGGGGGTTGAGGGGGTTGAGGGGGTTGAGGGTTGAGGGGGAGAGACATAACCAATACACAAGGGCCCTAACAGCTCTAGGGGGTTGGCGGGGTGGGGATCAGACTCGGGAAGGGGTACGGCAAACACAGGCTTTGAGGGGAAGGTACGGAAAGCGCTTAGGGCCCCTAAACGAAAAATAGCCAAATGAACGGGGGCCCCCCTTTTTCGGCGCTTCCCCGGTCACCCCGCAATTCCACCACCCTTTTCTCCCCCGTTCCCTGCACCCTGACCGCCCCCCCCCACGCACCTCCACGGGCATGACCGGGAAGTCCTCCACTCGCGGTGCGTGGGTCACACCGAACGAATACCACAAGACGGGGTCCGCGCCATGGAGTGGCTGATCCTGCGCGTGTGTGCATGCGTGTGTGTGTGTGTGTGTGTATGTGAAGGGGGGGAGGGGAGGAGGAGAATGCGTGTGTGTTAAGGGGGGGGGAATGCGTGTGTGTGTCTCTGTACGTGCGCAAGGGATGGGGGGGAAAGGGCGAAGGCAGTCGGCAGGTGTATGTGTGTGTATGTGTATGCACTTATCCTCCGACTCCCCTTCCCCCACCCCAAAATACATTCCCACTCCCACTCACCCACTCCCCCCCCCACACACACTCACCTTCTCCGTCCACTCCGCCAGCCCCATGCACCGGTTGCTCTGCACCACGTGCTCCCCCGCCGGGTACCGCTGCGCGTCCGAGTGCGGCGTCACCCAGAGCTGCCGGCTGGCGAACACCGCCCGGCGGGCGACCAGGCTGCTGGGGTGGGCCATCATCGCTGGACCTGCAGGTGTGTGTGTGTGTGTGTGTGTGCGCGTGTGTGTGTGGGGGGGGGGTAGCATGTGTGTGTGTGTGTGCGTGTATTAGGATGGGAGCACCAGCCTCCCTTGCTAGCTAGCCCTCCTTTCTCATCGCCTTATCGTACACCGTACGCCTTCGCCGCCGCCGCAATCCAAACACACAACACTTTCCGCTATCCCCCACCTTCCCGAATGAGTTACCGAGGTGGCGCACTCTGCCGTACTCTCCGTAGACCCCCGCTGTAGTCGCCGTTCCCCCTCTCCGTGCTCCCTCCCCCCCCCCCCACACACACGCACTCACTCGCCGCGGGCAGCAGGCGGTACGACACAGGTCTCCTGGAGACGGGGTTGATGCTGAAAGGGTTCTTGATGGACCTGCGGGGGCGTGAGGGGGGAAGTGTGCGCACATACACACACATACACAGGCACGTGTCACCAACACAGTCGTACCCTGCACCCGCGGCCCAGACGTCAATTGTCGTACTTGTCAAAAGGATCCTAACCTCGCCCTCTCCCCTCCCCCGACCCTAACCAGCTTCCCCCCATACACACATACATATACACACGTACACACATACACACACGCGGGGCTTCCCACCAACGTCCCCGCCAACGTCTCACCAGAACCGCGCCGTGTTGAAGTTGTGCACCCTCTGCGCGGCGGTGGTGGACAGCAGCTCGGTCTCCACCATTCGGAAGCCGTTGCAGTACGGGTTGGAGGGGCCGCCCGGGGGCAGCGGTACGGACTCCACCTCCGAAACCACCAGATCCCTGGTATGTGTGTGTATGGGGGGGTTGGCGGGTAAGGTGAGCTTTGGACGGGTTTTAGAAAGGTGGAGTTGAAGTGAGGCGAGGAAGATAAATTACCGGGTGCCGTATATAAAGGTGGGGGTAATGTACGGCGGCGGAGGCGGCGGAGGACGATGCGGCGCGGGCGGGGAGGGGCTACGGAAAGGAATGCAAAGAGCCGCTGAGGGGTTGGTCGGCATCCAACACCAGAACGAACGATCACACACGACAAGCGAAAAAACACCCCGCCCAATACCACCATGTTTCGCTCTGTCCGTCTGCCTGTCTGTCTGTCTGTCTTATCTGTCGGTGCCAAACCCTGCCTGCTGTGTTGTGTCCTGGTTTCCCCCCCCC